AGATTAAATTAATTAAATTGAAAATAGATTAAATGAATTATAATCATTGGCTGATATGAAATTACAAGAATTAGATCCAGAATAAAGAAATGAATATATGAATTTGATTAATGAAAATAAATCACTTTAATAAGAAATTAATAATTAAAAAGCAGAATTAGAAGAATTAAATGCAAGAATGTAGAATGCAGATAATAGATTGAGAATGGATGCTTAAAAATTAAAAGGTTAGATGCTAAAAGAATAAATAAATGAAATGGATTCAAAAAAAAATGATTTAGAAGTTTAATTGAATGAAGCTAATCTAACATTCCCAGAAGCCAGAGATAGATTATTAAATAAAATTAAAGATGATAATGCTTTTATTTAGAATTCAGAGAAAAGAGTTAGAGAAATTAGAAGAAATATAGAAAATTATGAAAAAAGATTAAGAGAATTACAAACTGAATTAGAAGATAAAAAATCATAAGATTAAGATAAATAGAAATATGAAATATTATATTAAAGAGATTAAGAAATGACTGATTACATTAATAATTTTGATAAAACAAGATAATAAGAATTAGAAAAAGTAAATGCTGTAGAATAAGCAATTGTTGAATTATTAGGTTAATCTTCAAAAATTGTATAAGATATTAAAACTATACCCTCTTTAACAGATTATGCTGGTTTATCTGCTGAAGTTGATTATAAAGATAATTAAGTCAAAGATTCTGAAATGACACTAAAGAAATTATAAGGAGTCTATGAATAAACAATATAAGATTTAAAAAAGATTGAAAGAGCTGAAGAATAATTACCAATTGAATTACAATAATACAAATCAAAATGTAAATAAATGTAAGATGAAATCGATTCCAAATTTAATAAAATTGATGAATATAAGGTTAAAGCTCAGGATAAAAAGCTTAAATTAGAAAATCAAAAAAAGGATTTACTTAAACTTAAAGATGATTTTACAGCATAAGTAAATATAGAATTCATATTTCTAGAGTCAAAATATGAAACATGAATTTGATGTCAAAGAAAAAAAATACACAATGCATGAATAATATAATACTTTAGCTGATTTAGAAAAGAAAGTTTCTTAATTAGAATCATAAGCCAATACTTTCTAGATGTTTATTGAAACCAAATCAAAAGATATGAATTTCGAATAGTTAAAGAAAGAATGTATGGATTTAATGGATAAAATTAATAAGGTCTTGTGTAAGACTTGATATCAATATGGATAAATATATATTCAAATTAATATAAAAATGTAATCAAACTATATTCTTCATCTTCTTGACAATGTTTTATCTAAATTTATTTATATTTTATTTATAAGGAAAGAAAGTTTCAGATGATATACTCTTAGTTACAGATCTAGCTGATTTTACTTAAGAAAGACCTTATTCTTATCCTTTTTATCCATTAAATTAACAAAGATAAGGAGAATTAATCAAAGAAGAGTTATAATTAACTAAATTATACTCTTTTTTTGAAGAATTTTATTCATCTCCTAAAGTTTTCAGAATCCTCATAGGTTAAAGTAAATTATGATATTTGCTGTAAGGGATGATTGGTAATGTGCTTTAGGATTATGCTTTGCTGTTATTTAATTTTTTTTATAGGTAGAGTTTTACTGATAATCTCTATTTATGTTTCTAATCTATAATTTAAGCTTATATAGATTAGGTTTATTAATTAAAGTTTACTTTATCATCATCTGGAATTGAAGATTTTCCTTATGTTATTGGATTAACATTATGATGTGATTGTCCAGGAATAAAAGGTTAGTTTTCAAAGACTTTAGTTTTAAACCTAAATAATCTTTTTGCTCTTTCTTATTATCTAATTTTTTTCCACTTTCTCAAAAGATACATTATGCAGAAAACTCCATTTTGTAATCTCTTTGATAATCTCTGTTTTCTAAGTACTGACATTTTGGTTGAGAAGATTATAAACTTTTTTTATAAATGTTTAGTCTTCTTATTATCTGTTCCACATTCCAAACAACAACAACTTCTATTATCTTGAAAGGATTCATTCAATAGTAATTCAGAACTATATATACAGTGAAATTTTTGATTACTTTAATGTAGTGGCTAAATCTAAATTTTTTAGAGAGGAAGGTTTGACCTAGAAAACAATAGGTTTTAAGGCTTTTGAATATATTTTTTCTTATATTTTGAAATTAAACTCTCTTTTCTTATTAGAAATAAAGGATAGTTTTAACTTTTATTGACTCTACTATTTTCGAGTTTTATTCATTCTTTTTTTTGAGATTATTAGCAATTATTTAATTATGGATAATAATATTGATAAAGACTTACTTTATAAATCCTAATATCATTCAGATAGCTTACTTAAGATTGTAAAAAAACTTAAGTCAGAAAATTTAGCTTTAATAAGTTAAATCCAATAATTATAAAAACAATTAAGTATTTAAGGGGATGATTCCTTAATTTAGAAGATTTAAAGTGATAATTTAATTCTGACCTAAGAAAATGAGAAGCTCATTGATAAATAGAAAGAATTAACATAATAAATTTATGAACTGCAAATTTAAAACACTAATCTGTAATTACAATTAAATTTAACAAAACAAGAAATGTCTAAATAATCAAATTCAATAACAAATGAGGAATTATATTAGAAATATTAATAATTAGAGTTTGCATATAAAAAAGCTCAATAAGATAATGATTAATTAATTTAAAAAAATACTCAATTATTTAATGAAAAAAATCAACTTTATGAAGAATTATTGAAAGTAGAAGAACTATATAAAAAAGCAAAAAGCTAATAAAATTTATCTATGTCTATGTCAATGTCAATGCAAACTATGGAATTATGTATATTATATTCAAATTATTTAGCATAATAAATAATTGCCTAAAATGATTACAATAAATCATAAATTATGCGTATCAAATAAAAAGATTATGTAAAACTTATACAAGAATTTTATATCATTTCTGTTCCAATTACTTCAATAAAATATGAAAATCCAGAACCTATGGTATTATTTAAACATCCTATTTAATGTGATAATGAGCTTAAGACTCTATTTTAAGTTCTTCCTTTGTTTTCTTTTCCAAGAGGGATTAAATGTTATCCATCTTAATAAGCTAAAAAAGATATTTTAAGGTATAATATATAATCATTAGAGTTTTGTAGGATGATTAATTATTGGATTTTTCAATTTAAGTTTTTACACCAAATAAGGATTCTGGTAAAGATATTAAAAATGAATTTATACAAAATACAAATCCTGATCAACTTCTTTATGCTGTGATTGTATCATCACCTGACTTTATTGCAGATAAAAAGTTAACCAATTCACATGAATTAGTAAAATAAAAGAAATTAGGTAATCCATCCTAAAACATTTATCTATCTAATGTAGCTTATATCATATTGACTTATTATCCTTACCATATGTTATTCTATTAAATAATAAAAAATATAATAAAAACATTAAAATTCGAAAGAAATCAACTATCCAAATAAGCTTTTGAATAAGAATATGATTTAAGATCAATAGATTAATATTATTTTACTAATCATGAAAATGAAATCAGAAAATATTTAGATTAAGTATAATAATTAACTCTTACTAAAATAATACAACCTATAAAATTATTTGATAATACAGACTTTATTCAAAATACTTAATTAAGTCCAATTTTATATAATTTTGAATTGGCCCCTAATAATCTATTTTAAGGATGGTCTGCTTCAAATTTTGTCTCTGCATTTTAAGCAGTTATATTGGAATCTAAAGTTGCCATTATCAGTCGATCATAAAAGCATATTGCTTACTTAATGATTTTGCTTTCACTATGTATCAAACCCTTAAATTATTTTCATCCCTTTATTTTTGATGTACCAGAAAAATTAATGCCTCTCTTAGATGCTCCAGTTCCAGTATTTTTAGGTCTCTAAATGGAAGAATTTCGTTAATTTAATGATGACGTTGTTTATATCAACACAATTTCTTCTAATGTGGAGATACAAAATATTGAAAGATTAAAAAGTAACTTGTTAATTGAATTGGAAAATTAGATAAAACCAGTCTTGTGCAACTTCAATATAATTTTAATTAAAAAAATTGAATTATTATTGAATATTTTCAAAGATTTCATGAATTAAGCATTAAATAGAATTAAGAATTAATAAGCAAAAGATTTGTTTTTATAAAAGATTGAGGAGACTTAAATTTATTAAATGTATAAATGATTTAAACATTTGCAAATTAGTTAAATTAATAATTAATATTAATGGGTTTATGTTCTTCATCTTAACAGAAACAACCAAGACCATTGATTAGATTAGTGAAAGTTGAGATGGACAATAAAGATGTTAATTATTTATAAACTTTAAATCTTTGGAGAACCATTGACAAATAAATAGTCTTGCTTAAAAATAACCATTAGATTTCATCAAAGTTATTAAATTAAACTGATCAGATCAATACTTTCTTAATATTAAACTAAGGATAGAACTTAAAAAAAAACTTATAGACCTTTTTTAAACTATTTGATGATTTTTAAATTTCATTTACTTAGGAAATTATGCAAAATGAATCAATTTGGGTTAATTATTCTTGTATATTTAAAAATCTTGATTAATTATGTGAAAATTTTGCTGACATAGGTTTTTGTTCAAAAGGTATATAATTAAAATAATAAATTAGTTTAAACTTAGTCTTTAACTAAATATTGATAAAACTGAGATAAATTTATTTGTGTATATTGAACATCAATTTTATTTTCTTTTTTTACTTGTATTGATTCTGAGAGGAAATTCAGAAAATGGTTACAATCCAGATGATTTTAATAAAGTATTCTCATAGTTTTTAACACTTTTATTTTTTCTCACAATAGTTTATTTTGGAGAAACAAAACCACTCAATATAATATCACTTTATTTTTATGTTCTAAATTTTTATTATTTTAATCTATGTGAACTTATAGAATCTAATAATTGGGAATATTTACTTATTGGTTCAGAATATCTACCCATATCACTTAAAATAGGACCAGACTCAATATTTCTTTATTAATTATTACGCTAAGATTTCATCTATTACACCTTTGATTTTGGTGTAGAGTAACCCTTTATTGGCAAAGGTTTAATCTTATATTTTTTATGTTATTCATAATATCTATTTACTGACTTTTATATATGGGAATTTTAATCCATAAGTTCTTTTATCATTTTTTCAAATCTTTGAGTTATAATTTCGACAGTACTTTCAACAGGAATGTATACTGATTATGTATTATCAACTGATTTATCCTTTAATTTTGTTATACTACTTATTAAACTTATGAATCCTATTTATTTATATAAATAGATGTTTACCTCCTCCTTGCAAATACAAAACCTTTGTGTTATCATCAATATATAATATATCATATACATTTCTATTACTATGTCTACTGACTGTATAACAATATTTCTTATGTAAATCATTTAAATATCTTAATCCATAAACTCCTAAAATTAATGGCTCTATGTAAAATTTTTCATTTCTATTGCATCGGTCTTCTCTTGATTTTATATTGGTTAATACTATTCATAATTTAACAAATGCGAAAGCTCGTGTTTTAATTTTTATCGCTGGAAATTGATTATAAATTTCAAAATTCCCATTAAAGGTTCATGAATCATTTATTGAATTGTTGTTCTAAGATTTGGTTAATTAACAATATCCTAACATAATTATTATCCTTATTTAGGAAAATATATCTAACATATAAAAATAAAATGTACTTATGTCTTCACTAAATAGTATTGAGTTATCTTTACGTATTTTTATATAATTTTAGGGAGAAATAGCTTGCGATAACTTTCCCCTAAATGTTAATATATATAATTTTCAAGATTTTCTCTTTTCTATTCTCCTCTATAAATCTCTTCTGATAATTCTCTCAAAGATCCTAATTTATTTCTACAATCTTCTTGCATCTAGTGTCCAATTATTCTTATCATAAATATCACTTCTTCTCTAGCAGCCAGAATACTTAAAAATAACTATAAAGGATTCTATTGCATTTTATAAATATGAATAATTATTACTTAATAAAGCTCTATTTTTTATGAAAAGAAAATTACAACTTTAAATTTCGTAAAAATCTAAAATTTTAACATTTGAACTAAATGAATTACCTATATTATATAAGTTTTATTTTATAGAAAAGTGAGTTTTTAAAAATATTACTAATTCTGAATATTCCATTATTTTTATCTAGTCTACTTTGAAACTCATTTGAGAAACATGTAAATTAAAGTCAAGTGTAAAAATAAAGATTTTTTATAAGATTTGAAGTTTACTATTTACATAGATATAAAATTGATCATTCCTTCCATTTATTAGTATCTTTAATACATAAAAAGAATATTTTACAACTAATTTAGAACAATATTTAACATTTTTGGTTAAAAGTGAAATCTAGATAAATTTGATTACATTTATAAGCTTAAAGTCAATTAAATAAATGTTTTACTATATGATATCTATTAAAGATCAAATAATAAATGTATTATAAATAATATGAAAATAGTTTGTTTAATAAATATAACATATTATTTCTTATCTCAAACTCAATTAATTTTATTTAGAGAAAGCAAATAATTTATACTGAATATTATCATATATATTTATTTAAAATATTACTAATCAATTCTTCTATTTGGTTTCTAGAGATATATTTATATTTTGAGTAAGCTAATCAAAATTGTTTTTACAGATACAGTTAATATCTTTAAATAATTTTGAAAGATATTTTTAGGCTTCGAAAAGTACTTATGTGATTAAATATGCAAATTAATCTTTTTATTTTTGAAGAACATCATAATTTACATGAACTTTTAATGGAAGTACATCTCTTATTATAGATGATATAGTTTCATACTAATAATCTGAAATAGATTCATTATTTAAACCATAAAGAGTTAATTACTATTAAACATCTTTGTCATTTAAGAATTTTTTTCTTGTTGGCAAAAAATCATTTATATATATATTCCTAAGTTCTTACTCATTTTTATAACATTTTTCTAATGGCTACTCTAGAAATTTAAAGCTTTTCTCTAATTATTCTGAAATTTGTTCGATAGTGCTTGAAATAAAATTTTTGGAATTATTGCTTATTTAAATAGCAGTAGAAATATGATCATAAAATAAATCAAAATTAAATCCAGGTATTTTTTAAGTAAATTAATCTTAAATAAACTAAATATAGATCTAAAATAATTACTATATCATTATTATTATCTTTTAATGTTTGTAATTAAACTTTCATTTTTTCAATTTCTAAATTAATAATTTATTAAGATTCCTAAAATTTGATTTCAAATTTTCTATAGTTTTAATAAACTTGTTATTAGAATTTTTTAAGTTTTTGATAACCTTAAAAATTTAACTTATTAAATTCAATTTTTAGCTAACCAGAGGATGTAGAAATCTAATTTAATTAAAAATTTCTAATTTTTTTCTCATGTTATGTGTAATAACTAAAAGGTTACAAATGGAGTTCCTTAGCCATTTCATCATTTAAAAATAACAAAAAATAATCAAGAGATCTTGTTTTTTGTTTATTATAGTAAATATTTAAAGCATTCTTAATTTAAATAAATTTATTATTACCTCTAAATGTAAATGAAAATCCTATTTTTGATCATATTAAAGTATACATCCTGAATACTCTGGGAAAAAAATTGACATAATTTTTTCCAGGGTCTATAGATCTTCTTTTGTCCTCTCAACTTTCCAATTAAATGGTTAGGTTTCAATACAAAATACTTGATTTGAAAAAATTATTTTTTTATTATTTTTAGTAATAACTTTAAATTGAAGTTGTAAATTTTCTTCTATACATTTTTTTTGATATTAACAAGCATAAATTTTCTCATATTCAGAAAATACTACTTATTTATCCTATAATTAATGTGAATTATTACAAATTAAATTTAACATCTCTCCTATTTAATCTAATTTAGAACTTCCATTTCTTATTAATTAAAGCCTTATAATTTTGCTTATTCTTCAGTAATCACATTTAGAAAAACCTATTATGATGGTTTTTTAGGAATTAATCTACTTTATTTTGATAATGGACGAGTTTCAACCTCTTTAATATTTTAATCTTAATTTTATTAATTTATCTATTGTAAAAAATTAATATCCTTACTTAATGTTATTATTATTCATTATTTACCTTATCTTTATTATTAATTCCTTATTGTTATAATTTTTAGTATTCTTTAACTAATTAATTTAAATCATCATAATTCCACTTATTTAATTCATCTTTAAAATTTAAGAAATTTTTACCTTTATCAGGAAATCTTTCAAAAGCGAAACTTTAAAAATCATCCTCATTATACTATTTATTGATAATTTCATTGATAAGCAACTCTTACATCTATTTAAGATTTTATTCCATATTAAAATATTGTAATTTTTTTATTAATAGATTTTCATATATTATACTTAAAATATATATTCAATTTGTTTTGCTTTTAACCTTTTCATATTTATTAACTTAATCTTTCCATTATTCAGTCTAATAGATTAACAAATAAACTTACATATTTCTAACAGAGTTTCTGCTTTGCATAAAGAAATCCTCCAAAGTTTGCATCTACTTTAAGCACGTCAACTCTGAATTATTCATCCATAGCCTTTGAAAATGATTGTATCATATACACTAATTGATCCTAAAGTTATTAATTTTACTGAGTTTCTGAAACATAAAGGAACCCTTTTAAATAATCAGAGTCAGTTGATAATTTCTCGAATTCTGATTAATCAAATTTATTTTATTAGATTATTTTTTAAATTACTGTTTTTTAATCATTATTTTTAATAAGATCCTCCTTTTTTTTATTTAATATATTATAATCTTAAACAAATTTATTTCTAATTTCATAAACATTTAAACTTAATCTTATTAAAGATTTATGACTTCTTAATAATTTTGCAAATGTTAATTTTAAATGATTATCAAGTAATGCACAAGAATCATTTATCTCATAAATTATTTAATTAAAATGATCGTTTACTAAATTGATATATTCAATAAGTCCACTTTATTCAGGATATTTTGGTAAAGTATTTGTTAATTCAAACAAAAATTTAAAAGCATTACCTAAAAATTCTTAGGATTTTTTTTAGTAAGCTAAGAATTCATTCATATTAGAGATTACTTGATTGAGAAGATTAATAGCATTTTAAGGATAAGATGATTAATCTAAGAATTTTTTATATCCATCAAAAGTTAGAGAAACTTTAATTTCTCCAGTTTTTGTCTATTTTTATTATAAATTATATCTCTTTTCTTTTTACAATTCATCTTTTAGCTTTTTTTATAGTAATTATTAATTAACTTCATTAACAAACCACAAACAAGGTTATATTGTTCTTATTATAGGTATTTAATTATAAAGTGATAGTAAATTCTAATTTTAAATAAATATTACTTTAATAGAAAGTATGATATTCTCCATAATTGGTAACATTTCATCTAATTTTGTTAATCTACCATATGGAAATCTAGGAATCTAATAAATAGTTTAATGTGATACTATTTTTTCAGGAAAATATTGACAAATAATTTTTCTTAATTCTGCAAATTCTTATAATGTTCTTGAAACCTTCCATTACATTGGAAATGTTTATATTGAAAATACTACAATATTTTTTTATGTGATAAATGACCATAATCCAGAATCTCTTACTTCCTAGGGACTAAATTATCTATTTTAGTTACTTTGAAATTTAAAATTATAATTCAACATTATTTTCAATTAGATATTTCTCTTATTAACATTTTATTACTTTTTCATAAGGATCTAAAGAGATATTATCCTTAAATAGTTTAGAAATTATACAATATAAATTTTATGTTAATTAGATACAATTACTTAGTATAATTTTTCATCAATATTTTAGAATCCATAAATTTCTTTTTCTTAATTTAAAGTTTGTATTTAATTCTTCTTTAAAGATTAAAAATTGTCAATACACATTTTTAAGTCATCGTAATTCCACTATGAAAGATCATCTATGATCAAAATATAAATTTTACCTTTATCTGGTGCTTATAGTTATACATATTATTCAAACTCTTCTTGACTATATTGTTTATTTATGATTTCTTCAATTAAAAGTTTCTATAATATTTCAATATTGTTCATTATTATTAAGAGTTATTTAATTAATTGTAAATGGAGGTACTTATTATCAGTTGATGTATGAAGTATAGATTGAGCAAGAGTAGACAGTAGTAATACGAGAAACCAATAAGAAAAGAGAGCAATTGAGACATGATTTGAGAAGGAAAGCATTAAATGAATAATTTAAAGTAAAAATAATATTCTAAATAAAAAGAAGAAGAGAACACCTACAAAAGAACTAGATATGTTAAATCTACTTAAAAAGCTTAGAAGTAATGAATCAGAATTAGTATTAAATAAATTTATTGTTTTAGTGCAGAGTATTAAAATTAATGTAAGATGCAAATCTTGAAGAAAATGAAGAAATAGCAATGTTTTTACATGATTTAATGCAAGAGAATTTGAATTAGGAGATAAGATTATTGTGTAAATAATTAATAAATCTTAAATTCTGTTGCATACCTTAACATTTAATGAAAAATAGATAACAATATTGAATAATTTTGTATATATTGCACTTATAAATATTATATTTTGAATCCATGAAAATTTACATTCGAGTACCAACCAAAACAATCTAATGATTTATTATGTTAAACATAATAGAAGAACACAATTTTTTCAAGTTTAATTATTATCAAATTTAAAGACAGATATATATATTTGTATTTAAATTATCACTTAATAAATATTACTAAGAAACTTGGCATAATTATCTAAAAATGGAATTTAAAGATATAATTACAATTACAAAAAAACAATTATTATATAAAAGAGTTCTAATAAAATTTAATTAATATTTATGCACTACCTTATTTTTTTTATTAAATAATAATGATCATATGGTTTATAATAAATGAATTCTTATTTTAGGTGTTAATTTAAAATGAAAATTAATTTAAATAATAAAATACTAACTATCATTATTAATATAATTTATACATTATTAAGATAAGAAATTTTTTGTCAATTATATTTTATATCTTTTTATATAATTAAATTTTTAATAGAATAAGATTCAATTTAATTTACAAATTTAATTTTGAAATGTATAAATATATCATTTCTTTTTATTCAAGCCCAAGAATAATCATACTTTTACTATAACTCAAAATCAAATCTCTTTATCAATTACTTTTTATCTTTCCTTGTTTACATTTATTATTGTTGATTTGATATGACTGTAATTTTATTCACAGACATTTATTAAAGGAATTTAGATTCAGAAATTTATTATGTAACAGCATATTATTTCAAAATTCTCTCCTTTTAAACTAATTATATTTAAATGATTTACTTTTATAAGAAGTTTCTGTTTAACATGTATCACAAAATGGTATTTTAAATATACCTTTTAAGACACAATAATCATGAAAAACATGAGAACATGTAAAAGCAATAGCAAGTTCAGAATCACCTATATGATTTTAGCATCTTTAACAAATATGATTGCAGATCCATGCACTTTACTAAAACTTAATTAATTATTACATTAATTTCTTTCAATTATTATATGATTTGATATTTCTCATTACTCTAAATTAATTAAGCTTCTTTTAATGTTCGTAAATCATCATGAAATTTACTTACAACTCTATAAATAGTCTATCTAAAAACAGAAACTGGTAATTCAGGATATTTTTAATTTAATAGATCAAATATTTATGAAACTTATACTCTATCACTAATTCTTGCTAAATATTCACTTAAATAAAGACTTAATAAATCTTTTACACTCTAAGGAATATTTGGCATTATAAATGTTCTAATTTTATTTTAATTTATATATAAATCTACAAAATACATCCATAAATTCTAATCATCATCATAATTATTTTAATTTTACTTTAAATCTTCTAAAATTAATTAAATAATAGTTTCTAATTTATATTTTAATTTTTCAGTGCAGAAATTATCTAGAGTTTATTTTTTCATTAATAATACTATAGATTTTTTGATTTTCTTTAAAAAAGAATTGATATATATATCTAATGCTTATTTCATAGATCCACTAATTTAATGAATATAAGCAGCTGCCTAATTAATTTTAAATTCTTTTGTTAATTTTAATGCTTCATCTAATGGAAAATTCATACTTTTTATAGCCTATAACACTTATTTAGGTTAAGTCTCACATAATCTTTTTAAATATAATATTTTAGTTTAATCATTAATTAAAAATACTTTTTAAGATTAAAATAAATAGGATATAAAATTAGCAAAGTATTTTTAATCTTCAAAATCCTTTTAAAAACAACTCAATATTTAAAAGTGTTTTTGATGAAAATATTTCTCAATTAATTTATATGTTTATTATTCATCTACTGTAATTAAATACTTCAAAATTTCTAAAATAAAATCATCATTTTATTAATTCAATATCATAGGTCTTAATTCAACCAATTATTAAATCCATGGAAATATTAATTCTCTTATTTAAGTATTGACATTTTTAAAAGCTTCAAAAGCCTTTTGATATTGTTATTATTGAGAATATATAAAAACTAAAGCTAATGAAAATTTCTTGACAATTGATGCTGAAAATTCTAAATCTGATAATTATCGTTCTGTAAGCTTTTTTGACATCATTACACGAATGATAAATTGATTAACTAATAATATATCATTATTCAATGATAATAAAAATTCGTAATTTCTACATAATGTATAGATTGTGTCATAAGCAACTTAAGATGAAAAAGGAAACTTTTGTATTAATAATTTGGCTGTTAAATATGATATCCATATATCTGATTTATTAAATTCTAATTTTCTAACTGATAAATACATTTTTCTATGAACAGAACTTCGTACATTAATTTAGTCAAAATCAAAAAGAGAGCCTTCAGTCTCATCAATTTATACTCTTAATACAATCTCTGCTCTACTATCCTCTATACAAGCTTATGCTTTACCAATATAAAATTAATATATTATGTCAAATGCTTCTTTTGGATCTTTATTAATAAATTTTAATAAATTTTCACTCACAAAAAGAAACTAAATTAAACTACGTAAAGCATTATTAAATTCTTCATCAGTTAAATTCTTTCCTTCAAAAGATTTACCTTCTAAAATGCTTAATATATATTTCTGACATTCATCTTATAATTACTCTCCCCCAAATAATTTAACAAGTGGAGTCACAAAATCTTAAGATTTTTAACATACATATATCATTTCGTTGTACATTTTCATTTATTCACAACATGATATTAATATAGCATTAGATATTCTATTAAAATCAGTCGAACATACTAAATGATGTATCATCTCATCATTATGTTAATTTTAATACATTTTGCATAATTCATACAATTATTAATCTGGTATATATGGAATTTAATGCTAACGAAGTAAACTTTCAATTGTCTATTAAAATATTTCTTTGTATCCTAAATCAGATGCAACATCACTAATTATAGTAAATAAGTAATGTTCTAATTTAGTTTGGATTAAAAACTTAACAATCTCAGATAAAGATTAAACTGTTAAGTTTTTTTATTTACCCAAAAATAAGCATTCAGTAAATGCTAATTTTTAGAATAATTCTGATAATTAATCAGAAGGTGCAACTTTAATAAGTAATAAATCTCCATTCATAATTCTAATTGCATATTACATAGCTTTTCTAAATTCTAATTGATCAGCTTAATTCTATAATAAAGTTCTACAATCTTAGAGTGATAAAAATTCAAATGTATCTTCAGTTAAGCCTAACATAAAATGACCATTGAATTTTTTAATTTTCAAAGATTGATTAAAATAATTCAATTTATTTTCACATTTTTTAAATTCTGTTGCATGAACTAATGCAAAACCATCATCAAATAATATAACAAATATATCAGAATCACAACATTCTAATCCATTTATTTTTTTATCTGTATCTAATTATTTAACTCCTATTTCATCAATTGTAATTAAACCTCCTTAAATTTCATACATAAATAAATGTATGACATTACCATAGCTACAACAAAAAGAATTTCTAATTTAATTATTACTATCTAAACAAGTTGATAAACATGCCCAACCTGCATCTAATTGATCATTCTATAAATTATACAATTAAATAGGTGTTTCTTTATTAATTTTGCTTACTCTAATAATTGAAATTCTGTTGTGCATTTGATATAATATAAAAGCATAATTTTCATTACTATTTTGCATAACTAATAATTCATATAAAATGCTGAATCCAGATTAAATAAAATTTTTTTCTTTTTAATCTATAATTTACCCATTTTATGTTAACTCTTAAGTTGAAAATTGTACATTTCTTTTATTAAACAATTTAAAGATGTTACATTTAATTTTTGTAGAATTTCCTTTTAGATCAGCTATCACTATTTCATACCAATCTAATTATTTTTAAGATTCATTTATAACTCTTAGAAATGAAAAAGGAACTTAAACTTATCCTATTTTATGGGTTCCAATAATTGAAAAATCCTTTGAGATTTCAATTAATAAAATATGTTCTAGTTATCCAATAAATAAACAATCTTCAGTTTCTTAGATCACAAGTGAATTTTATATTTCAAGCTTCTAAATTAATTTAATTTCACTTCTAACATCAAAAACTTAAACTCTTTTCTGACTGCCAAGATACACAAACCTATTTGAGCAATGCATAATGTTTATATATTCTTAAAAGGGTAACTTAACAGATTGTTTGACAATTATAGGATTAACAAATTCATTTTCAAATTAATATTCTTATAGTGGATGTTTAATAATTTCTTGATATGTTATTTAAGGATGTTAATTTAAGAATTGATGAAATTATTCAAAGTTTTTGTATTCTACAAATTTAAACATAAAATTTTTATAAATAAAAAATATTATACATCTTAAAACATATATGAATTTTATGTTCAAAACTATAGTATGAATATTTATAAACTAAATTTAATTAATGATTTTGATTTAATTTTCTTAATATAAAATTTATAGTATATTTTTCATTATTCATAAGTGTTTTAGATATTTAATTGAATACATTATCACTTTATAATTATTTAAATTATTTAATAAGTCTAAATGTAGTTAAGGTAATTAGATGAAGATGACGAAGAAGAGACTTGTTTTCTCTGTTTTAAAATAAGTAGAAACAAATAAGCAAGGAGAAGTTCAAAAACATAGACAAATGACAAAATGAGTATGCAAAATTTATCATTTGATCATCATATTGCAGAATCGAGAAGATAAATAATTTAGGATTCAATTATTAAATTGACTGATTCAGTTTTGAAGATCTCAGATTATCCAAAAAATAAATTATTTTTCTTAAAGAATAAGGCTAGTAAAGAAGAAATTATAGCTAAAATTACAGAAAAGAAATTTAATATAAATGATTTATCTGGCTCTACTTAAAGTTTAGACTCTTAAAAATCATCAATATAAGAACAATTATAATAAATAGAACATACTCCTGATAATGTGGCAAGATATATAGCTAAAAGATTAAAAGAATTTGTTATAATCACTGATTTAGGTTGTGGTACTGGAGGTAATACAGTTCAATTAGCCAGAGAATGTCCTTATGTTATTGGAGTAGAAATAGATAGTAAATTCATTGAATTAGCAAAAAAGAATTGTTAACATTCAACTGTAAATGTAGATCTAATTAATGCTGATATATTTACTTTAAATAACTTAAAGACTGATGTAATATTTGTTAATCCAAGTTTAAACATTGAAACATTACCATAAAAAGATTAAATAAAACACTGCAACCCAGATATTAAGAAAATATTATTTAATCATTAAAAAAATACAAAGAACTTTGTTTTTTAATTACCTCCTTAAATTGATATTTCTTAATTACCTTTATTACTTAATATTAATTCTCAATTTGGTTATTTTAGATAAAATTATCCTTCATTTTTTAGTATCGAAATTGAATAGATCATTCTAAATCAACAACTTGAATATATAGTAGTATATTGTGGAGATGTATCTGATGTATTTATTGATCATCTAAACTTATTTAGATTAAATAATCAGAGATAATCAAATTTCTTACTAAATAATTTCGTAAAGTTCAACCTGATTGCAATTCAATACAGAAATAGCATTTATTTTGGCTATTTGAATTGATATTTAGAAACATTGGAATTCAAAATCTTACTTATAGAACAGTAGAGGCAATTAAATAAAAAAAATCAATAGAAAATTTTTGTAAATTTATTTAACAATAATTTTAAATTAATTAAGATCTCTATTAAATCTATATTAATCAGTAAGTGTTTATTTAACTTAAGCAATAAAAATGATAAGAATGATATCTATTCAGCATCAAAACAGGATAATGATCAACAAGATATAGATAACATGAGTCCTAGTAATTTCTCATATAAATAAATTGAAGTTGCTAATATGAATTATTCTTATACAAATGAAAATGTATTTGAAGATGAAGAAATTGAAACATAGAATTCATTTGTAATGAATTTTAAGCATTGAAATCATAACATATTAAAATGACTTTAAATTTAAATTATAAAAATAATATTTGTATTTCTATACTATTAAAAATAATTGAAAAAGAAATTGATTATATAATTATGTATATAATTAAAAGAGAATTAATATTCTTTTGTTTTCAATCACACATAGCTATGTCACGAATTGTAAATTTTCCTTCTTCATGGGTTTTAGCTACTCTTAAATATTTTTCAATTTTCTAAAATTAACTAATATTCTTACTTATCTACAAATATAACAATTTTTCTATTTTTCTAACCATTTAATAATGCATTCTTCACATATTCCTCCATGTTAACATGGTAATAATACAATATTAGGTTCTACATCATAACAAATTTAACATTTTTCTTCAATCTATTTAATTAATTCTAATTCTCTTTCAGCTACAGGAGATTATAATTACTCAGTCTTTCCAACAAATTCAAATGCCTTTAATTTAGTTTTCTAATGAATCACTGATTAATTGCTATGTTACACTGTAATCATATTTTTCTAATAACGGATAATTTCGAAATATGTTGATGATATTTAAACAATTTTATAAGGAATATCAATTTATATAAACTTTTATTTCTATCTAGTCTAATTTGTTTAATTAGTTGTATTAAATCTGATTTCAATTATATATAATCTCTAAATACTTGAGATTATTACTTAATATAAGAAAAGAACAATATTAATCCTAATAGTATTATACCATTATAAACTATAAGTACTAAAAATAGAGTTGAAGTTGTATTTGAGTAATTTGTTTCTTCATACCAACTTACTTCTAAGAGAAACCACATTGGTAATATTGAAAATGAATTCATATAAAGTGAAAACCATAATCCTCCTATTACTTTTATTATAATTTAAATATACATTGTGTTTTTGTTGTTCGATTTCTAACATAATCCATAATGGTTTCTCCAATTGAAAGCAAGAATACAAAATATACAATAAAAGAAATAATCAACAATCCCCAAGATATACTAAATACACTATACCAATTCCAAGTTATCGTTTTTGTATGTTTCATTGTTACTAACATGATTTGTAATACAAATAATAATTTGATTCCTTAAATAATCTCTTATTTATATAAATGTTTACAAAAGAATATTATGATATTTGTTGATTATTAGATATTTTACGAATATTTTATACAAGTACTCTAATGAAATAATATGCCATAATTGCATAACTAAAATATTAAATTTAGAATTGCTAATAATATTTAACATTTATCAATAGTAATAATTTGAGTACACTTCCAATCAATGTATCCATAATTAAATTATTTACAATTGCTTTAAATCTACATTAATTAAAATGTACTTTATTCTCAATAATCCCAAAGCTGTAAGCATAAATATATCAAGCATCCAATATTATGACATCAAATATAAAAGATCATATTTCCAAATGAGATAGGAAAGATATATAATCTGATAAGACTATGATATTTGTTACAGAAACATCAATTACCATATTTTCATATTAACATTGTTTGTATTATCATCTCTCATGATTTTTATAATTTTTTTAATTAAAATTCTTATTTAAAAGAGTTTATTAAACTGATATTTTTTAAACAAATCTAATCTCATTTCATTTTCCAAAAGAATTTATTTTCATTATAAAATATATTATTTATAAAATTAGATTCATTTAATAATGTAATTTTTAAGAATAAAAAGAATAAATAATGAGAACCAGAATATATGATGATTATATTTTGTTATATAATATTTTCTATCTATACATTATCAAAATAATTTGGCTTCATTTCTTAATTTTTGTATGAGCACATCTACATTTTCTACAATAGCTCCTCCTTTTCTAATAGCAGGAGCTTCAGTTTTTGTAATTTAAATGGAATTATGCAATTTACCTAATTTGTCAAGTGGAATAGTTTCTAATGGTTTTGATTTTGCCTAATATGAAATATATAAAATTATTTACTTTCATAATATTTGGAACACTAGCAAATCTTGGTTGATTTAGTCTTAAATCACATGTTATAACTCCAGGTAATTTGAATTTAACAGTCTAAAGTCCACCATCAATTTCTCTGACAACCTAAGCAATTCCATCTGTAATTTATATATTTGATGCAAATGTTGCTTATGGCCAATCCAATAATCCAGCTAACATTTAACCTGTTTAATTAAAATCATCATCTATAGATTATTTGCCCATTAAGACAAGATTATAACTAAAATTCAAAAGAGTATTACTTATCTCTTTCAACTAATTTGGCTAAGATATTGGCAACATCTAATGGTTAAACAGCTTAATCAATTCTTGCTTCAGTTGTGACATGTATAGCTTTATCAGCACCCAAAGCAAGAGCATGTCTTAAACTTTCTGCTCCTTATTTAGGACCAATAGTAACAGCAACAATTTCAGCTATCAATTTTTTCTCCTTTAATCTGACAGCTTCCTCTACTGCTATTTCACAAAAGGGATTAATTGTCATCTTAACACCTTAAAGATCAATGCCATCAGGCTTGACTCTAACTTTAATTCCTGAATCTACTACTCTTTTGACAGCAACCAAGACTTTCATTTAATAATAAATTAATATATCAATTACACAATAATTACGACATATGATTAATACAGAAATTAATTATTATGTCATTTCTATTATAAATAATTATGTTAACCAAATGCATTAATATTATATAATTATATGATAAATAATCATACTCATTCTTAATCATCCCAATGTCCTCTATCAGGCATTTTAGGACCTCCTGCAGGTTTAGCTATGATAATCTAATTATAATAAAATATATTTACTTAATCTACTCTCAAAATTGTAACAGCAGCATCAGTTGCTAATTTAATAGCCCACCATTTTGTTTTAAGATGATCAAATACTTTCAAATCTTAAGAAGGGGATAATGTAGCTGTCTATTAAAGAATTATTATCAAAATGTACTGAAATATTAAGTGAATGAGGTTTCTCAGAGTTTAATTTATGCATTTAAGCCATCATTTCATTTTAAGCAAGACCAGCATTTTCAATTAAAATTCTTGGGATAATTTCAAATGCTTAAGCATATTATCTATAAGCATATTAATCAATTGATTTAATTTTATTTGCTTCTTATTCTAATAATTATGCTAATTTCTAAATTAATATTAATATATAATCATACAATTTCTGTTGCACCACCACCATAAACAAATCTTGGATCTTTAATAAGTGATCTATAACAACTAACACCATCATCAATAGCTCTTTCAATATCATCTAATAAATTTTATGTTGCTCCTCTTAATACAATAGTTGCTAATTTACAAGTATCACTTTATTTTTCAAAAATAGTCACTTTTTGACTACCAATTTCTTATACATGTACTCTATCACATGTTCCTAATTCATCTGGCATAGGAGCAGATAATCTAGATAATGCACTAGCTCCTATAGCTTTACATATTCTCTTTAATTCAAATTTAGATTAGACTTTAACAATCATCATTTTATATTTTTCAACAAAATGTAACACTAATTCTGAAATGCTACCTCCTGCAACAATAAGATTGACACCTGCATCAGCTATACTTTTAACAATCTTTTCAGCAAGTTCTTCTTCACTTTTAGTATAATTCATTAATTCTGTTGCATTTTTAATCAACACAGTTCCTTTAGTTTCTTAAGATTATGGATCTAATGGAGCATTAAAAACACAAATCTTAGGATTTTCTAATCTATTAATTTATCCTTCAACATTTCTAGTAACAATAAGTCCTGATAAGACATGACTATCTAATACTGATCCACCTAAGATTTTGGTAACTCTGACATATTCAGAATCAAAATTAGTTTTTTCTCTTGGTAAACATCTTATGCATGCTTTAGTTACTAAACCAGCAATTAAATTAGAATAACTTTAAATATTTAATTAAATATTACTCTGATAATTTACTACTTAAAGATGTTCTAAT